CCAGCAGGGGTATATGGGGCCAGGTGACCCCTCAGATTAGGTATCCTAACTGGTCCCAAGTTCAAAGGCGGAAAGCAAAACCTTGAACTGAGCTTGGTATGCTTCTGACATACCAGGGCGGATTTAAAGCCACCAGCAGGCACAGCAGATAATACCAATGGTCTGTAGAGCATGAGAATGCTGTAAGATCGACTTTGCAAACCCTCCAGATGTTATAATAATAATAATAATAATAATAATAATAATAATAATTTATACCCCGCCCTCTCCAGCCAAGGCCGGGCTCAGAGCGGCTTACAAGCAATAATAAAAACAAGTTGAATGATTACAACTTAAAAACAAAATTAAAATACAACATTAAAATATTGAAACATTAAAATATTAAAATGTAGCCTTATTGCAGGAGGAGAAGGAAAAGAAAAAAGAAAGAGAGGGAATCAAATTGGCTCCAAGCCAAAGGCCAGGCGGAACAACTCAGTCTTACAGGCCCTGCAGAAAGAAATCAGATCCTGCAGGGCCCTGGTCTCGTGAGGCAGAGCGTTCCACCAGGCCGGGGCCAGTGTTGAAAAGGCCCTGGCTCTAGTTGAAGCTAATCTAACTTCCTTAGGGCCTGGGACCTCGAGGGTGTTGCTATTTATGGACCTTGAGGCTCTCCGTGGGGCATACCGGGAGAGGGGGTCTGGTAGGTAAGAGGGTCCTAGGTCATGAAGGGCTTTAAAGGTCAAAAGCAGCACCTTAAATCTGACCCTGTACTCCACCGGGAGCCAGTGCAGCTGGAAAGGCACTGGGTGAATATGCTCCCATGGCAGAGACCCTGTGAGGAGCCTCGCTGCAGCATTCTGCACCCGCTGGAGTTTCTGGGACAGCTTCAAGGGCAGCCCCGAATTACAGTAGTCAAGTAGAGCGAATTACAGTAGTCAAGCCTGGAGATGACTGTCGCATGGATCACTGTGGCCAGGTCGGGGCGGGAAAGGTAAGGGACCAACTGCTTGATGCGGCAAAGGTGGAAAAATGTCGCCTTGGCTGTTGCTGTAACTTGCGCCTCCATGGAAAGGGAGGTGTCAAGGATTACACCCAAACTCTTAACGGAAGGCAATGGCACTAATTGGGCCCCCGCAAGAGAAGGGAGTTGGTCCCTCATCCCCATGCCATTCCGACCCAGCCATAGGACCTCTGTCTTCGAAGGATTTAGCTTCAACCGGCTCCCACGTAACCATCCAGCCACAGCTTCCAAACATCTGGTCAGTGTGTTTGGGGCCGAGTCGGTGTGGCCATCCATCAGCAGATAGAGCTGAGTGTCATCAGCATATTGGTGACAGCCCAGCCCAAAGTTCCGGATAATCTGGGCAAGGGGTGCATAAAGATGTTAAAAAGCATCGGGGAGAGAATTGCGCCCTGCGGCACTCCACACACCAAGGAGTGGCGCAGCGACATTTCCCTCCCTAGTGCCACCCTCTGTCCCCGACCAGAGATAAAAGAGCACAACCAGTTACAGACTATGCCCTGTATCCCCACATCTGCGAGGCGGTTTGAACTACAACACCCATCAACACGCTGTACTGTTTTGTAGTCTAAAACATCTGGCTGGCAAAGACTGGTGTAAAGAAATTAGCAGATAATATGCACAGTGTTTTCTGGAAAGAAGGGTGCCAATTCACCATTACATAATGAGAGGCACAAGACGGTGGCCAGGAAAAACCATAGTTTAAGACTACAGTTCCAGCTCTTAGAATTGCAAGGCTTGGACAAGAAGACTCAATCAGGACCAGATATTGGGCAGTGCAGTGCATCCCCTACACAGGATGCCGAGCCGAACGGGCACATCACAACAACAACAACAACAACAACAACTCCTATATTATATGTGTACCTACTGAGAAGATCCATAAAAAGCTACTGTACCAAAAGGAAATATTGTGTAAATAAGAAATAATGGTTGGGGTGTGTGTGTGTGTGCCAAATTTTGTCATCACTCAGGGCCTCACTCTGTCCACCCCTGACTCAATTACATCTGTAACAACAGGCACAACCTCTTCAAGGCTGAGTAGCCAAGAAATTCTCCCATTGCTGTGAATTCAACAATTAGGCAACGTGCTGTGTGGGGGGAAAGGATCTCTAATGTTTTAAATTTACCAGCTGCACTTCCTATCAATTACAAATGAACAGGACAAAAAGGACGCATGAAACACGGACCTCCAGGCAGTCTTCAAGAGCAACCTTCAAAATAGAAAGGATGTTTGGAGTATTTTTTAAAGCTCTCCTGAAGATTATGGGAACTAGAAAGTCCCTTTTGCTGAAACTAGCCATGGGCGACTTCAGAACTGGCTTGGTATTTACAAGCTTTTTTGGCAAGCATCTGCATGGGAAAAAGCTTAATTTGATTTTCGGGAGTTCTCTCCTGGCTTGTCGTATGCCAGAGACCCTTTAGGTACCCAAGGAAGCTGTCTTAGGCCAAGGCACATTATCTCTCCCTGTACTGTCTATATCAGCCTTTGCCAACCTGGTACCTGTCTCTGATGTTTCAGACTACATCTATCAGACCCAGCTAGCATGACCAAAAGTCAGGGATGGTGGGATAAAAAGTTCACTACATCTGGGGAGCAGCAGATATGGAGAGGCTGGCCTATACTCACTCTGCAAGAGCTCAGTCCAGATAATAGGGCAGTGGTTCAAAAAGTAAGAATTAAATAGATATGTGAAATAAAAAAAAAAGTTTTATTGACAGGGCATCACATGGCATTCAGGCAGTCTTTATCACAGTATGAAAAAATGGGCAAACCTCATGCATATTTGTATGGATACAAAGTTTTTCAAGACTCTTTATTCAGGCCATTTCTCAAAGTTGCATCCAGCGTGTGGAAGGCCACCTGGTCACGATTAGACCCTATCAACACATGTTCTAAGGAAAAAAACAACAAGAGGAGATGATGACAGGGTACAGCACAGGGAGAGAAACAGAAACACCATGGAAATGGGGGTGGGAAGTCGGGGGGTTATTATGTATTGAAATGTATGTGTGAAATTTTGGGAAACTTAATAAAAAATTTCACAAAGGAAAAGAACAGGAGGAGGAGGAAATCTATTTATCCATTATAGCAGTGCCACTGTCAAAACGGGTCAGCGACTATAAGGAAAGCATGAGCAGTCAGAAGGGGTTCATCCCCCTGATGACAATGGAAAGGCTTGGGCAAAACTAGCCTGGGAAGGTTTATGCTGAATGGGTTTTCCATCTCCCATGCAAACTAATATAGTGAGCGCAGGCGGGAAACTATCAGGAGAGGGCAAAACTGTCACCTTCATGTTCCCTTATTTTCTCGTTTTTCCAGTCTTAAATTCACTTCTCCACATTTCCACATCAGTTTGAGATTCTTAAAAAATAAGCCCACATGAAAATTCACCAGCATTTTAGTGCAAATTTATCCTAATATTCACATGCAATTTTATGTTAATATACACTAGTTTGAAAAGTAATATCCCCTAACATAATGCTTTTTGTGTTATTTTCACCAATGCATACATTTTTCTGCATGCTTTACTATGTGCATTTTTGTATTTGGCTGAAGATCTGCATTGTAAAATCTGGAGAAGCATGAATTTCAAAGGACAACTGTGTTTTGGTTCACATATTTATTAAACAGTGTGAATTAGACAGCTTTGCCTTTAACTTCAAATTGAATCAAATTTCCCCCCTACCCTTACAGACCACCTCTAGAAAATTCGCTCAGAGCAATCCTGAGTAGTTCAAGGCAATCAGGCAGTGATTAGCTTATAGGACACACATGAGGGTGGAGATGTTGTGGCTGTTTAGTGGAAGAAGGCTGCAATGGCCTACCCTCCTAGCTTTGCAGACAGATGGTTTCCCCCCTTTTGATAATGAAAACAATGAATGTTAAATTTGGCCAAATCTTCAAAACATGTTGGATATAAATAATCTCAGGGGGGAGAGGCAGCACAGGTTTCAGCAAGTGCTGAGGTCCTGAAGCCGCTGAGGGACCCTCCAAACCGATCAATGGAAGAGGCCAAGTGCGAGGAAAGCATCTCCTTCCCAAAAAACACCACTGCTACAGAAACACAGCAACCCCAGCGCTACCATATTTTGTGGTCATTTTATTCCTCTATAGTGCCCTGGAACAACTCAACTTCAAGGGCATTGGGAGGAGGTGAACCAAGATGTTTCAGGAAACCGGCCCCCAGTACATATTTCTAATTGTAAAAGGGCCCCCAATGTAGGCATATGTGGTGAAAGGGAGCGCCATCGTTTTGCCCAGAGTCCCCTCAACCTTTGAATCCTAGAATTGTAGAATTGGAAAGGACCGCCAGGGCCATCTAACCCAACCCCCTGCAACTCAGGAAACTGTCGCCCAACATTGGCCTTGAACCCACAACCCAGAGATCAAATGTTTCCTGCTCCAATGACTGAGAGGCAGTCCAGTTTGGGAATGACTATCTGAGGCTTCAATGAGTTAATGGATTGGGTGAAATTGACCTGACTGGATCAGAACAGTAAACCAACACAACACCAAGTATCCTACTGGCTTTCTTAGATTTGCTTTTCCTCTGTTCCCTCATCACTCCTCATTTGGGGTTCTACTTTTGGTCATAACAGATGAGCTCCCCCCTTTAACAGTACTATATGCCTGACCAAAGTCCTGCCATTCACTTTCTCTGGCCTCCTACTAAAGAAATAAAAATACATTGGGCATCTGACACAACTTGGTTCAGATTAAACCAGAATAACATTGGCAGTTTGTAGCCTTCAGGTTCTGGAGTTTCAGAGAAGGCACTGTCTCCATGAAAGGTGACTGTGTGAAAAGTCTTATGAAAGGTGGTTATTTGGCAATATCCAGATTGAAAGAGGCTAGACGTGCTCATCTTTCCAGGGCTGGTGAATCCTGTTCACCCCTTGAAGAGAAACTATGGAGGCAAACCCTTCCCGGAAACCACTGCCAGTAAGAGCTCTAAGGAAACACGTCAGGCTATCCTTCTTTTGGGCCCCAACATCACACTGGCCTGTCCAAACTGTAGTGGCTGGAGCTGGGGCCCAAGGCTGGATTTTGAGGAGAACCATAGTTGAGGGGGGCCTGTGGCTGCTTTGCTCTGAGTCTCAAACCAGCCAGGCTTGAGTTGCAGGGGTCTCTGTACAAGAATTGTGAGGCACTCGGTCCATACGGTGAACTGGGAGGCCCAGAAGGGCTTGCCAGGCTGTTGAAGGTTTCCAGAGATGGGACACCAGATGTGGAGGCTGCTGAAGCTGCTGGGAACACACCTTGGGGTGGAAAGGAATTGATGTTCACGGAGTTGAAGAACTGGAACCCTTTGCTTTGGATGGGGTTGGCATGCAGCCCCTTGGGAGCCCAGGTACTGTAGGTGTAGGTCGGGTAAAGGTCCTCATATGGGTTCCTTGTCAAGACGTTGAGCTGGGAGCTGAACGGCCCTTTACAGAGCTCTGTCTGCTGGTGACGCTCCTTTTTCCGCCACTTGGCTCTGCGATTCTTAAACCAAACCTTGAGGGAGAAAAAGGAAGAAAGAAGCAGAAAGGAAAATTCTACTCTCCAATGCAGTGGTCCGTAAAATTCAGTGGCTGAGTGAACTGATTAAGAATTTCCTTTTGTCCACATTTTTAATCAAACTGACTTAATTCGTTCCTCAAACAAATAAACTGGCCGATACAAAATTATTGTTCAGATTTAGTACTTCTCTAGATTTTGTGGTATTATTTGTGGCTCAAAAACATACAAAAATGCCTTATGAATGTGCATTTTAGGATAAAATACATTTACAAGTTTACATTGAGATAGTTTTTTATTGTGCATATGGAATTGTAGAAAACCACACTGATATGTTTTATGAAACTGCAGTATACAGTGGTACCTTGGTTCTCAAACACCTTGGTACTCAAACAACTTGGAACCCAAACACTGCAAACCCGAAAGTAAGTGTTCTGGTTTACAAACTTTTTTCAGAAGCCAAACAAGCTCCATTTTGAGTGTTACACTTCTGATTTGAGTGCCACACTTCTGTTTTGAATGTTACGCTGAGGTCTGTCTGTTTTTGCTATTTTGCGGCTTTTTTGTTCTGTTTTTGTATCTGTGTGGAACCCAGTTCAGCTACTGATCGATTGACTGATTGTGTGACTGCAGTACATTGTTTATTGCTTTCATTATATGGATCAATGACCTCGTTAGATAGTAAGATTCATGTTAAATTGCTGTTTTAGGGGTTGTTTTTAAAAGTCTGGAACAGATTAATCCATTTTGCATTACTTTCTATAGGAAAGCACACCTTGGTTTTAGAACTTTTTGGAACGGACTTCCAGAACGGATCAAGTTTGAGAACCAAGGTACCTCTGTACAAGTATTTATATATATTTTTATTTGTTCATTTATACCCCACCTTTTTTCCTGATAGGACTCAAGGCTTAGTCATTTAGGGATTTAAACACTAATGTGAACACCATAAACCGGACCTGAAAATGAACTGGCAACTAATGCAGCTGTTTTTAAACAGGAGTCTGTGAGCTCTAAATGGAACCTCAGCATTTTGGACTGATTGAAGTTTCTGAGTCATCTTCAATAATCCAGACTGGAAGTTACCAGAGCACGGAATACTGTGGCCGAGACATTTCTATCCAATAGGCATCATAGTTGGTAGATCAGGCAGAGGTGGAATAAGGCACTCCTAGCCACTGAAGCCATCTGAACCTCCAGGGACAGAGCTGAACCCAGGAGCCCAGTGCAGACCTGCTCATTGCAAGAGTGCGCAACTCCATCTCCCAGGTGTGAGAACTTGGGACACACAACACCTTTCTCTTTTCAGAATTCAGCTTCAGTTTATGGACCCACATTCATTCCATCACTGCCTCTCCTGATTCAAATGGGACAGAGAGATAGAGCTGGATGTCATCCATTTATCTGACATCTCACTCCAAATCTCCTGATGATAGTTCCCAGCAGCTTCATATAGATGTTGAATAGCAGGTAAGGAAATATGGAACCCTGCAGGACACTACAGGTCAGTTCCCTTGGTGCTGAACAGCAGCTTCCCATAGCTATTTTCTGGAAATGGCCCTGGAGGTAGAAGTGGAACCACTGAAGCACAGTGCCTCCAATCCCCACCTCCCAGAGGTGCTCCAGGGGGATACCATGGTCAGCAGTATCAAAAGCCGCTGGTGGGCCAAGGAGAATGAGCAGGGTCACACTGCCTTTGTTTCTCTCTCAACAAATGCCATCAACCAGGGTAGCCAAGGCAGTTTCAGTGACCTGGCAAGTGCTGAAGCCACTGGAATGGATCCAAGTAATCAGTTTCCTCCAAGCATGCCTGAGGTTGGACCGCCATTTAAATATGATGCCTACAGCATAGCATGAATTATTATTCTCTAATGCTGTAGCTTTTTATGGGAGACAATATTCACACCACACATTCTGAGTGACTAAAAGCTGCCTACACCAGCAGAAGCGCCACAGCTGCCAACTTGGTGCTCCCATTAGTGCAACTGCATTGCCCAGACCTCACTCCTGCCCTGCCCCAGCAATTTCTAGAGGCCCCTCCAGTCTGGTGTTTGTTTTTTGCAGACGTATTCTGCAGCATGTCGCTGATGCAATAATTGTGCATTAGCATTTCACTTATTGTAAGAGAGACAATATTTCATGTCCCCCCCTCTTCATGTTCCCCCAAATTTTCAGTTTTTCAATTGGAAAAATGAGAGACAAGGCTTGGGGGGGAATGGGGTGTTGCTTTTTTCTAACCCCCCACCCCAGCTTTTGCATCTCTAATTACACTTGCTGCCTGTCTCAACACAGCTCTCCGCTCACCCTGATCCTGGGCTCCGTCAGATTGGTCCAGCCTGCAATCTCCTCCCTGGTGGTCATGTCTGGGTAGCGATTCCGTTGAAAAGTGGCCTCCAGCTCCTGGAGTTGCTGGCTGGTGAAATGAGTCCTCTGCCTACGTGGCTTCTTCTTCCCCACGTTGGCCTCCTCCTCACCGCTGGAATCTGAAGATTTGCACTGAGAAACCTCACCATTCTCTCCTGTAAAGAACCAGGAACATGGGAGATGTCAGCATGTACAGTGGGCATCAAGCTCACTACCTGCCTTCTGTATTGATTTTATGGTATTTCATGCTTTTTGCATTCACAGATTTTATTGTACATCACCCTGATTTCATTTATTATATTCCTTTGCCACTTTTCACTCACACAGCTCACATGACAATAACAGAACGACATAATTACAACACAAATCATATTGACAAATCATCAGTAAAACAACCATCTTCTCTAGAACACTCTTAACAAAACAACAACAAAAATAAGCTAAACAGCACAACTTTCTGCATTGAAAAAAGTAAACGAACTGAAGAGCACTGGACAGCTGGGAAAACAATGACCAGTAAAGCTGCTGGGAACTATCATCAGGAGATTTGGAGTGAGATGTCAGATAAATGGATGACATCCAGCTCTATCTCTCTGTCCCATTTCTAACTGAATAACGTAGATTGAGCATTTGACTATTTTTAAGAAATATTGTATACACAACTGACAAATGATGTCCTTTTATCTATTTCTTTCTCTTTTTTCTCTCCTTACTTTTCTCTCAGATGAAGGGGAAGGACAGTTTAGACCCTGTGTGAGAGGCAGGTCATGGGAGATCTCCCGGGGTGGGAGGCTGTGGGAAGAGAAGGATGAGCCCAGGTGAGAGTGGGGAAGGCACACTTTCCTCTGTAGGGGATAAAAGCTAAGTTATAGTGATGAGGGAGGATCTTGTAGTTTTTTCTTCAGTTTCTTCTTTCTTTAGTTTCTTTCTTCTCTTTATTTCCTGTAGATTAATTTGCTTCTTTTATTGTGAAAACTTCAAAAAACAAAAACAAAAAAACAAGAAACTCCCCCCCCCAACAACCAAAAACAAAGCACTGTTGAATACATCTATTTAGTTTAAGAGGCAGTCTAAAGTATTTTTCTAAATAAATAATTGCTATGTTCTCTAGGGGAAAGATCTGTAGAGGTACCTACAATAAGGCTAATTTTGCTTACTTCAAACATTACAAACAATTTTTTATTACTCAACTGGATAACTTGGAGTAACTTTCCACCCAGGAACCTTTATCACAGCTGTGGCATTGACTTTCTGCACTACAAAAATTATAGTTCGACACAATACTTTACAATGCTGCACTGCTCCCCCCCCCCCGAATTGTACGCTGAACACACCCACAGGCAGCCAGTGCTTTTTTAAAAAAAGGGAAAAAAGTTGCTGGTACTCACCATAAAGTTGCTACAATGCCACACTTTTAAAATTTGGGGGAAAAGAGGCGACAGTACATATTGTGCATCCTTGAGTACCCCCAGAAAAATAGCACTAAACGAAACCCTCCTATAAAGCTTATTGAGAAGGAAATCCCTTTTATTTATTTTTTATTTTTATGCTATATGCTTACGTTTTATCAAAAAGGTTCACAATACATCAATTCCATAGATAAGGGAAGGAAAGAGAAATTTCAACACAATACAGTACAAAATAAATTTGCAATTCATATAAAGCAGCAGCAAGTTGCCCAACATTAGATTCCTCCTCCTTTAAAAAGCGTAAAACTTATTTACAGATCCCCTTAAGACACTGTCACTATTCTACATCCTTACATTTTAAAATATTCCTTTATTCCTAGTGCTTTATAGTAACACAAGTAGGAGGTTCTCATTTGTAAACATTTTCAATCCCAGGATTTATGCCTTATGTTAGGATTTAAAAACAGAGAATATAAAACCTTAGAAGGGTAATGATAAAATATTCAAGATTCAGGAATGTTGTGAAAGTTAATTTCACCTGAAGGAAAAATTTGTCCTTACGCAGGACTTCACATTAGCTACTGAAACAGCTAACCCAAGTTAGCTGCACATTGGTGCATTTCAGCTGGGCTTGTGTGCTGAATCCTGTATAGCAGGTTCCAGTGAAATAAAGAAGTTTTTTTGGTGTACTGTAGTGCTGCCACCATAAAAGCGGCGATTTCCCCCATAATTCCACAACAAATAATGTTAAACAGACATTAGTGGCAAGGCAGAAAACTTGTAATGATCAGTGTAACTATCACGTGACTGTTTAACCATGAATTGTAGGCAGAATACTGTCAGTCAAGGCTCCTGAAGCTGGAACCCCTCCCCCCCCCCAATTTAAAAGACACAGGAACAAAGTCTCTTTCACACGAACTTCAACCGTTTTTGGTCCAGGCTCTGCTGGCGAAGCTCTCAAATCCTTCATGTTCAACTTGACGAATTCTCGTCTTCATTTCAAAACAGTTCCAGGCGGGTTACTAAGCAAACGTTTCCGAGCAGCATTCTGCAGACAGATTGTGGAAACTGATTCCGGGATCCGTCCTCCTTGTCGAGGCTCCTTCTCGTCTTCCCATCTCTGCCAGGTCTCGAGGCTCATGGAGCGCCCTGGTATCCGAAGAAGTCTGCAAGCACACGAAAGCTCATACCAACAACAAACGGAGCTGATCTCTAAGGTGCTACTCGAAGGCATTTCTCCGTTTTGTTTCGACTACGGCAGACCAAGACGGCTACATACCTGCGACTAGAAGGCAGAGCGGCGGCAATTTAAAAACGACAAAGGCTGCTGGACTGGGGGGAATGGCGCAAAGCGGGGCGAGGGCGAGCCTCGGGGGCTTCGCGGGCCGCCTCTCAGTCCCGCTTGGCCGCGCGCCCCTGCCGCGCGCCCTCGTTCCAGGCCGCGTAGACGAAGAGCGCCAGCACGGTGTGCACGGCCAGCACGGCCAGCACGGCGCTGTAGAAGTAGCCGTCGCGGGTCGACATGCCCAGGAGCCCCTCGAAGAGGTAGGCCTTGGAGAAGAAGTAGAGCCCGATGGGCAGCAGGATCATCAGCGTGGTGAAGAAGAGCAGCGTCTTGAGGGTCGAGGCCAAGTTGGCCTCGAAGCGGGGCTCGGGCCGGGCGGCCTTGGCGTCGCGCTCCATGACAGAGAAGGGAACCGGAGGAGCGGCCACCTCAGCTGACGCCTGCCCTTCCCGGCCTCCCCCGCGGCCGCCGGTCAGGTGACCAAGGAACGGCCCTTCTAGCAATCGCTCCCTCGCTGTTTCGTTGGTTCCGCTTCCCCTGTTGCTGAGGGCGGGGGAGTCAGGAATGGATTGCCCTTTGGTGAATCCGTTACTGTTCCCTTTTCATTACTGGTTACCTTGATGGATTTCCCCTTTTATTTATTTTGTAGGAAAATAAGCTATTTCACATACAAAGGAGAAAGAGAGAGTGTTCACTTTCCCCTGAGTGATTAAGGACAATTAACCATATTTACTTGAATCTAATGCTCATCTTTGTTGGCCAAATTACATGGTGAAAATTCAGGTGTGCATTTGATTCAATGGCACATTTACATTCGCCAGCAATTGCTTTTTTTGGTTTCAAGGTTCTGAAAACAGGTGTGCGTTAGATTCGATACAAAATAAAAAAAAATCCTTCCAGTAGCTCCTTAGAGACCAACGTAAGTTTGTTATGGGTATGAGCTTTCATGTACATGCACACTTCTTCAGATACCTGTTCGATTCAGATATCGGTTAGATTCGATGGCGCATTAGACTCAATTAAATACGGTATTCACTAATCCACCAGCCACACTGAAAGGGAAGTTATGCAGTGGGCTGAACCTGCAAACAGGAAGCTCAGAGACCCTTAAAACTGTAGTAACAGCCTGCCTGGTGTGGCCATAACATACACTTCTCATTCCAGAGAAAAGGGCCAGAGCAGAAGCAACCTTAATAATCTCATTCTGACTCTTTGGGCCAATTAACACATTTCTTCTTATAACCAGCTTCAAGAATGTGTCCCTGATCTGAATAACTAGTAACACATGGGCCATAGGTGACCACAGACTGCAGTTTTGTCCAAAACTGTCTGAAAGTGCAGGTTTTTACAAGGGGATACAAACACAGTGCTTACAACAACCTGAAATCCGTAACTAGGTCTGATTTATTTTTGGATTACTAATTAAAATGCCTCATTGTTCAAATCTTCTATGGATGTTTGTGGAAAATACATAAAATGAACTTTCCCCACGACTTTAAAGTTGATTAAAGTATTTGATCGATGTGCATTTGTGTAATAGTGTAAGTAGGTTGTCCTTCCCTTATACCTCTTCCATGAAATTCATGTTTTAAAATGTCAAGGCTTGCAAAAGCAACAACAACAACAACAAAAAGTAAGATACAAATTTTGAATCAAGTATCCATTTAGTAAGTAGGCTTATATTTGAGGGGGGCGGGGGAGAGATGTTCCTTTCATTAAAGAATTTCTGGGGCCTATTGAGCCATTCTAAAAAAGAAATCCCTTAAATAAAATAAAACGTTATTATTTCAGGAGGGTTTTGCATTTCATGCAGTACAGGAGGCAGTGACGGCCACCAAACGTGGATGGCTTTAAAAGAGGCCTAGACAAGTGCATGGAGGAGCAGAAGGCTATCAGTGGCCACCAGCCACAATGTTCTCTGAATGTCACTTGCTGGGAGTGGCAGGTGCGCCAAGAGCGCACAGGATGCTGTACTAAGTGAGCCATTGGCCTGATCCAGCAGATGCTCTTTTCAAGTTCTTATTTACCTGCCTGCTGTTAGGAATATTGGAAGCTATCTTTTACCTTTTGGCCGGCTTATATAGCTCCTATAACTGAAGTGAGCAGAAGGTAGATCTGGGTAATTTGATACCCCAAATTTAACAATAACAAGTAAAATAGCAAGTTTTTTTAAAAAAAGTTTCTCTGTCATTTTGTTTCCTGTAAAAGAATATTAATGGGTTGCCTTAGCTTAGACCAAGTCATTGTGCAGCTGTGCCGGACAGTTTTGTGTTCAAATCTGTAGAAACTCAGATCTAAATTTGTACTCCCCATTTTATTTTTATTTGTTTATTAAATTTGTATACTGCCCTTCACCCATAGACCTCAGAGCAGTTCACAACATAAAAATACAAGATAAGAAACACAAAATACCTAATAAAAGCAAGAACAGAACAGAACCAATAACCCTCCCTTGCACAAACCATAACCCCCAGCCCAAGGCCAGGTTGAAGAGGGACGTTTTCTCCTGGCGCCTAAAGGTGTACAGTGGAGATGTCAGCCTGAACCTCCCAGTCCATGTATCAAAGTCAAGTGGACTAGCAGCTGAATCTTGCTTCAGCCCTGGTGACAGGACAGCATTTTCCACCACAGCAGACCAATCCGCCTGGCACATGCCGCTCTGTCTCCCAACGCCTCCGCTCCGCTCCACGCCCTGCTCCGCATCCTAACAGGGACCTAACAGAAGAGCTGGCCCTGTTGGTGGACACAAGGGAGATCCTATAGGCCTGAAGTCTGCCTGCACCTGGCCTGTGGGGACTGGGAGTGACTCTCCGGGGTTCTCTTGCACCTCCTTGGTGGTCCTGGTGTTCTGTTTCCTATGAGCTTCAGCTCTTCCCAGAGATGACAGAGGCAGCTGCCTTACCCAAAGGCAAACCACTGAGTCCATCTAGCAGAGCATCGTCTATAATAGCTGAAAGAAGGTCGACTGGATTTTGAGGAGACTCTGCTTGGAGAAAATGCTGCAGACTGAAACGTTTTCCGTACAAGGCATGGGTCTTATCCAGGGGTCAGCAACCCTTTTCAGCCGTGGGCTGGTCCACCGTCCCTCAGACCATGTGGTGGGCCAGACTATATTTTTTGGGGGGGGGGGATGAACGAATTCCTATGCCCCACAAATAACCCAGAGATGCATTTTAAATAAAAGGACACATTCTACTCTTCTAAAACCATGCTGATTCCCAGACCATCTGCGGGCCACACTGAGAAGGCGATTGGGCCGCATCCAGCTCACTGGGCTTTGGTTGCCTACCCCTGGTCTTGTCCCTGGGCCTCTGCTCGGTGTGCCCTCCTCACACAGGCTCTTACACATTTGTGTGGGGCTGGCTGTGATGGGGAGCAGCAGCCACCAGCTCCTCCTCAAACAATATTTAAAAGGTAAAGGTACCCCTGACTGTTAGATCCAGTCTGGGGTTGTGCGCTCATCTTGCTCTATAGACCGAGGGAGCCGACGTTTGTCCGCAGACAGTTTTTCCAGGTCATGTGGCCAGCATGAATAAGCCGCTTCTGGCGAACCAGAGCAGCGCACGGAAAAGCCGTTTACCTTCCTGGCGGAGCGGTACCTATTTATCTACTTGCACTTGACGTGCTTTCCAACTGCTAGGTGAGCAATGGGAGCTCACCCTGTCACGGGGATTTGAACTGCCGACCTTCCGATCAGTAAGTCCAAGCGGCAGTGGTTTAACCCACAGCGCCACCCACATCCCATATTTACCTCTCTCTAAAATACATTGTCAGGAGCAGCCCAAAGATGTAGCAAATATGTTTTCTTTTTACATTAAAGCACTGTATACAGCTGCTTGGTTCTTATACCTGTAAGTGAAGCAGCAGCACAGGGGAGAGAGGGTGTCCCTCTTCCACATCTAAAATAATCACTCTCAATAGCTTTCAGCCTTGTAAAGCGGAGCGGATGGGGGGAGGATACAGATATTATACAGGTATCTTACCATTTGTACATATGCTGCAGGTTACCAACAGCTTTAGGAAGGAATTATTTGGGGAAATGATCTGGTTAAAATTCTGGGCTGGCCCTCATATTGGGCAGAGTGAGGCAGCCGCTTCATGTGGTGGATGTGAGGGGTGGGAAGAGTGGCAACAAAGTGCTTGAAGGCAGAATTTTTGTGTGCCACACAGGCTGCCCTGTGCCCCCTAAGCTTGCCAAATGGCCTCAGGTTTTGTGAAGGAAACGATCCTAAAACAAGGTTCAGCTGTTGCTAGTCTGATCAGCTTCATTATATGGAAGCAGGAGAGGCCTGTGCTGCCTCAGGCAGCAAAATGTATTGGACCAGCCCTATTAAAATCCTCGTCTCCCCTAATGCCACTGCTCCAGTCTGAATTTGATCCCTCTCTTCGGTGTGGCTGGGGAGGTTGGTCCTGAGGCAGAAAAGCCAAGTGTCTTCCTTCCCATCATCTCCACCACCTTGCCCATTGGTAGAAATATTATTGCACTTCAAGAAAAAAAGGTTGACACCATTTCCGACCCTTTCATGGCATTTCAAATCTGCCCCTGTGGGCTAGCTGCCCTGGCAGTGTCAAGCTTGGCTGACAAGCACCTACAATTGCTTATTCTGTCCAAGACGCTGGAAGTGTTTATGAGCATAACAGGAAATAATGATAAACAGGAATTTAATAACTTTCTCCTTTAACCTAAGCTAATCCTGGGTGCTTGCATAGACTGAATTGCAGGGTCAGGTGTTACACTGCAAAGCAGGAGCAATTAACCCAGGACAGGCTGTCCTGAGACAATTTGTTTGTCATTCACCTCTGGGACGCTGATGTTCCCAGCTAGAGTTAACTGGCCAGTTTCAGTCTAAAGGACAGGCTAACATACTAAGATTTTCAATGGCTCCTGTCCACTTCCTGCCCCTGTGAGGTGAGTGGCTACTCAGGAGAAGAGATCGGCAAATCTGACAGTTTCTCTCAAATTGAGTTCTTCACATTACCATATTGGTTTGCAGGGTTGTCTTTAAAAAACCAAAACACTCATGAAAATTAATCAGCATTTTTGAATTTCTACTGCACAGATTTTTGCACACAATCTTGCCTAGTAGACACATTTTTGCAAAGGAATTTTCCCAGTTATACTGCACTTTTCAATAATTTTCACTAATGTATACATTTTTATGCACAGTTCACCTGAGTAAATACATTTGTGCACATATTACTCGGCTGGAGAATTTCATTTCAAAATTAAGAGAAGTGTGAATTTTTAAAGGAATGGTTGTGTTTCAGTTCAGGGATTGTTTCAGAAAGTGAGAATTAGTTGCTGAATCGAATTGCTCCCAATCCGTATTAGGGAGAAGGCCTTTCTCATCAGTGACACTCCAGGTACAGTGGAGAGGCTCACCTGGCACCTTCCGTGCCAGCTGAAGGCCTCTTTGTTCTCCCGAGGTTTTAAAATCTGAATTTCTATCACACTGATTGTATATAAAAAAAGTGCTGCAATTGTTCTTATAATTCATATTGAAATTTATAGTTTTATCTTTGTGAGCCACTCAAATAATTATGTTATTGGTCAGCCTCTATAAATTCCTTAATAATTATTGTAATTGAAAGTACAATATATCTTTTTCTATATCCCTGACTAACACAGCTCTCTAAGATACCTGCTCTGACTGAGTAGAACAAAACCCTATCTTGTATGTCAATCTGGGTAATTTCTGAGAAGCTTGCAAGGAGGGCATGAAGACAACACCTCTCCTCTCTTACTTATCTCAACACTTGGGACCCAGAGATACAGTGCTTCTGAACAGGGAGGTTCCACTTAGCTATCATATTTAATAGCTTTCTTGTGAAAAAGTATATCCTGAATCTGTTGCCTGCCTGTCAACTTCAGTGGGTGACCCCATGCTCTGGAAGGAGAAAGGGACAGACATTTAATTCCACTCTGCCTTTTCACAGGAGGCATCATTTTTAAAAGCCTCTTCCATTGGCACAAAGGGGGGGACATGTGCCATGTTGTGACATGTGCAAGGCCACTGTGAGCCAAGAGCACCTGTGCTTGGGATGCTGTCAACATTTAAATTGTAAGCTCTTTGAGACAAGGGCTTGACATTCTTGCTAATATTACTTTGCCTCCCACCACATGCAGTACTGGAGTACAGAAGAGTATAAACCCTCTGAATTAGGTCAAATCTCTGCAGGGTATACTTGCCCTTTCTGCTTCCAATTACTCTTGCATGGCTTGAAGTTGAAGTAAATGAAGGATTAGAAAATATCTCAGATCAAGAGAGTATAAACGGAAAAACAATTATCTATTAATACTACTCCAGAAAGCATGCAGATCTGAAGGAAGATGGTCACACCAGCAACTGGGCCCAAATATATATCAGATCTTAAGGATCTGTGGTGTTCCCGCTGCCCATTTCAAAATATTGTCCTGATTTCCTGTTCTTCCCTCACTTAACTCTGTTTCTTTGCCACAATCCCATATATTTTCAGGATTTATTCTTGGCCTCCCATTCTTGAATCCCAGATTACTTAATCCATAAAAGCTCTGGCTCCCTGGTTCTTTAACTGCAGTTGCTAACACAGTCAGGAATCTCTGTTCTAGACTCTAACCATGCATTGAGAAAGTGGAAACTAATTCCTCCCTTTGCTGCTCTGATTATGTGGGCAGGAGTTTGGATGAGGCTGGAAAGAAATGCTACTTTTCTCAAGAGAACTGAAAGAGGGATCACCATTGCTATCTGCATGTACACACTCACCCAGGTTTCACCACCGGCACCCAGCCTTTGCAGGGTTCCAGGTGGTATAAGAAACCTGCTGGATAGGTTGTGCAACCAGAAGTGACAGTGGAACGAAATAAGTAGGTGTGCACAGTATGGATACCTCTTTCTCATTCTTTTTTCAGTTCCCTTTACTTCCCTCCAGCCTGCTGCAAATTTATGATGTTGCTCATCTGTGCTAACTAAAGGATTACTTTCAGAGGCACCACCACTCCCCGAACCAATGGCTTGGGAGCCCCCAAGAATGCAGGTCTCTTTGATTCCATGCCTTACCTCCACTCTCTGTGCTGGGTGTCCCAGCCAGAGCTCTCGGTGGTATCCCATCGGTGGCCCCATCTGCAGCTTGCAGCAATGTTGACATACTCCCAAAGGTGCAAAGACAGGTCCCTGTGTTCAAGCCCCACCGCTTGGAAGCAGAACCACGATGTCTCCTACTCCACAAAATCTCTCTGGCCGGCAGAGCCTGATGCGTCTGTTCTGCTTTGCTGATGGGAGATGAGCATGGAAGAGGCTGTCCAGGCTAAGGAATTCCTTCCCACTGGCTCTTTGAAATCAAAATCCTTACTGGTTGTGAACCTCTGTCCAGGGATCTCCTTCATGGAGCCCCGTTAGCCATATTCTAAAGGCTTAGCCTTCCTCCACCAGGACCACCCTAAGGTCTGACTCTTCCCTCCACCAAAGAGGTTTGCAACTTCTTAGGGGCTATTTTGCTCCCAGAGCGCTGCTGTTTTTCAACCCACCTCCCCTCTCTCACATGTTTATTTCTCTTTCCCAGGGCTGGCGTGTTCTTTAGCGCGGCAGGAAGGGTGTGTGTGTGTGTGTGTGTGTGTCAAATATCAGGGACAGCTGAGTGCAATCTAACCAGGTGCCAATCAGGCATGGTCTCCACAGCGGGCTGGGGAAGCTGGATGTGGGGATGGATGAGAAGATGGCAGCTGGGGAGGCCAGTGTTTTGTTCAGCTTGTGCTCATTGGAGGAGGAGACGCTGAATGTGCACCATTTCGGCACCAGTTGTCTCTCTGTTTACATTTCCCATTTGGAGTTTCATTCATCCTTGTGGCTTGCCTCTGACACCACTTAATGGGAGAACAGAAGAACTGTCCTGTGAGAGGAGATCAAAGGTCCATCGAGCCCAGGATTGTGTTTCCAACAGTGGGCAGTCAGCTGGCTCAGAATATAGGGATGGAGGAAAGACATTCAGTTTGGTTCACATTTTTAATGCGAACTGACCTAGTTTAAGGGTGGGAGAGAAATTCCATTCAATTCGTGTTGAAAGGCACTTTTTCAAAATGATATGCAAACTGAAATGCAGCTATCCTTCAAAATTCTCACTTGTCTAATTTCTGCAATGAAGAAATTCTCCAAGGGAAAAAAATGTGTACAAAAATTAGGGGAAAGTGCTCATAAGAATGTATGTATCAGTGAAAACATATAAAACTGCATTATATTATGAGATGCGGGTGGCGCTGTGGTCTAAACCACTGAGCCTCTTGGGCTTGCTGACCAGAAGGCCGGTGGTTCAAATCCACGCAACGGGGTGAGCTCCTGTTGCTCTGTCCCAACTTCTGCCAACCTAGCAGTTTGAAAGCACATCAGTGCAAGCAGATAAATAGGTACCACTGTGGTGGGAAGGTAAACAGTGTTTCCAGGCACTCTGGCTTCCGTCATGGCTTCCGCCAGAAGTGGTTTAGTCATGCTGGCCACATGGACAGCTGTCTGTGGACAAATGCCGGCTCCCTTGGCCTGAAAAGCAAGATGAGCATTGCACCCCATAGTCACCTTTGATTGGACTTAACCGTCCAGGGGTCCTTTACCTTTACCTTTTTACCTTTATATTACGAGAAATATATTGCAAAAATGTGTATAATAAGCAACATTGCAAGAAAGGTATGAATTTGGATAAATGTGTAGTAACATGCTATCAAATTTTCAAGAGGACCTAAAAAGAATATTTTGAAATGAAGTTCCATGGTCTGGGGAGGATGGTCAGTCCCTCTCATTTGTCCTCAGACTTTGACACACAAAGAAATAGTATCTCTAGACACAGGAATTCCATTTAACTATTGTCACAAAAAATGGTGCAGTGTGAACGGCTTCTGTTCACTACATTCCATTCCCCATCCCCATCCCTATTTCCCTCCTTCCCACCTCCTGAATAGTTAGTTAGCATTCGGTGCTCACGGAGTGTGCTCAGTCTTCATTGGCTTATTTTGGAATTGCCCCTCCTGCATTTCTTTTTATTCTTTTTGGGGGGGGGCATTTGAGGGTGAGTGGGCCCACTTGTGCCCAACTGAATGATTTCGTCATTGATGCTAATAGGCAGCTCCCACTTCTGTTGCAGAAGGCCCTTTAAAATAGCTTCTGTGAATTGGGAAGTTACCTAGCCAGACAATGATACTGTTCTTTCTACTTTTAAATATAGCCATGTGTCTCCTACCCCAACCCCCCAGCTCTTTCCATCAATTCCATTCAATTGCTGGACTTCAACACTCAGCATCCCAAACCATTGGCTATGTTGACTGAGACTGATGGGAGCTGTAATCCAACAACATTGGGAGGGCTTCAGGTTCTCTGTCCCTGGCCTAAAGCATGGGTTCTGTGATACAACAACACCTTACGTTGCATTGTGCACTGCAGTGGAGTCAAGAATGGGAACCATGTAGGCCAAAGATGCTGGCGAGAGTAGAAGCTAAGTGGTTATTGGATGCAGATCCAGTCCCCTTCCAAACCATCAGGCAGATCTCCCCATGTCACCAGCTAACATGGAGGTGGGCAAGCAGGAAGCCTGGAAAGACTTTCTCTTTTGTCCAAGCTGGGCATCCTCTGCAAGGCTGACACAGGAGACGTATAAGATGCTGCCCCTACAGCAGCGGCTAATTAGGCCTTGAAAGATGGGATAGTTGCTTCTTTGCCATCCTAAGGATAAGGTCAGGTTTCCCCATTTCCTTTCAGTTGAAAGATTGAAGGCAACGGTATGCTCTTCACTTCTCCTCCTCCTCCTCCCCCCCCCCAAGATATTCAGACAGACTGGCCTCTGCAAGTCACTTGGGAATCTCTTTCCTCTAGGCAGCTCAGGTTTTCTGAAATCCTCTTAATCCATGGCACTGACACCACCTCTGTAGTCTTTATCATCAGCCTTCCATAAAAGAGTTACGGTGTATCTCCGTCCATTCTAAGCATCTCCTTTCCAGACTTCCTGGGGCTCAAGCAGGGGTCTGTAGGAGATAACTGGCACTATCTTATCGGGAAAGCAGTTTTTGGAGAGTGTTGAAGGTGGCACAAGAGAGGAGGGGTCATATGCTCCTACCACCATTATCTGTTAACAGACTTTGTAGGGTTTTGTAGAGCTTTAAAACTCAGCAAAAGCTTGTTTGACCAGAGATGATAGGGGGAGAAAGAACAAATGGGTACAACAACATGGGAAAGGATGCTTTAACCATACTACATATGATCCTGCCTTATTCTCATGCAGTAGTAGACTACTGGTCTACAGCTGAATATTCTTGACTGGCAGTGATCAAAGAGTTCAGGCATAGGCTTTCTCCAGCCATGGATGCCACCTGAGATCCTTTTGGCTGGAGAGGCCAGCAATTTAACCTGGTTTCTTTATAAAGACAAAGCTCAGACTGGGAATCTTGGGGTCTCTGTGCAGATGCCCCATGCGGTAAACTGCAGAACTGTACACGGCAGCATCTGTCACCGTGTCCTTCCATTTTCTCCAAATTCCCAGTGCATTAAAAACATGCTGCCCCACTGGCTCTGAACAGCCTCAGCAGCTTCTCATCACACATCCTTCCTTCTTTTTCCTCCCAACAGCTGTGCTAAGGCAGAATTTGACAGACTGGAATGCATTGGCAGCTGTGACAGCTGAAAGGCCAGCCTGCTAGGAAACGTTTCACCCCTTGGCAAAAATGGCTCCAGCTCTGAAGTTTAAGGGAGGGGTTCTCTCCACCCATGTTCTTCATGAAGACAAGATGCAAAGGGAATCCTCTGCATGCATGACTGGTGACCCATCTGTCAGTGCCCCCATACTGACTTCAAGAATCTCGGGGTGGGATACATGGTTCTAAGAACACAGGAAGAGCCAACTGGATCAGTCCAATGGCCCATCTAGTCCAGCATCCTTTTCTCTCAGTGGCCATCTAGATGCAGTGTTGGAAACTCAGATATATAACCAAATGGCATGTTAAATCTAGGGGGTTGGACTAGATGACCCTCAGGATCTCTTCCATCACTACAATTATACGATTCTGTGACTACATTGCTTGACTATAGCCTGTTGTCACAACAATTCACTTGTCCCAGTATGCAAGAAGGAGAAACACACACAGTGGAAATGGAAATGGTATTAACTATGGACTAAGACAGAGGTTTTTAAACTGTGGTTTGTGAGTTCCATTTGGGTGGCCTGTGGAAAGGCTGTAGCACAGTCAAATAGATCTGTATTCAGCCCTACACTTAGAATCATAGAATCATAGAGTTGGAAGAGACCACAAGGGCCATCGAGTCCAACCCCCTGCCAAGCAGGAAACACCATCAGAGCACTCCTGACATATGGTTGTCAAGCCTCTGCTTAAAGACCTCCAAAGAAGGAGACTCCACCACACTCCTTGGCAGCAAATTCCACTGTCGAACAGCTCTTACTGTCAGGAAGTTCTTCCTAATCTTTAGGTGGAATCTTCTTTCTTGTAGTTTGGATCCATTGCTCCGTGTCCGCTTCTCTGGAGCAGCAGAAAACAACTTACTTTCCTTGATGTGATGATGGAGGACTGTGCCCAAGTCAGTTTCCAATCTGGCGCCTGGAAATCTCCACATAGTCGCAACTGGACCCACACCAGTAGCAAAACACACCTGGCACCTGGGGAATTTCGAACACTGTCTAGATGCCTATGAGAAACTCACACAGGACATGAGCCCGCTCTCTCCAGCAAGTGGTATTCAGAGGCACTCAGGAGTGATTGATAGTTTTAGCTGCTTCTCCTTATTTTATTCTCACAACAGCCCTATGAGGTTGGTTGGGCTGAAAGTGACAGGGTCCAAGATCACTCAACTCCTTTCATGGCAGATCAGGAATTTGAACTTGGCTCTCCCTGGTCAAAGCCCACTACGTGCTCGATCCAACACACCACCTATGCACATTATTCTGGAGAAGGCCAAGGTCAAGGGAGTGTGTCTATACAATTTTAGGGCCATTTTTGTCCTTTTTTCCACTTCTGGGTTTGGGCTGATGTGCGTATGTGCGGTTGTGCACATATTGAACACGTGTAAATGAGTTCCCTGTATATGCATTTTAGCCACATTCCCCTAAGATATACATCCTTGTTCACATTATTTGGCTGGAGAATTGCATCACAAAATTCTGAGAATTGTGAATTTTCTGGATCACATATTCTTCTAGAAAGTGCAGTTGAGGTAGGTTTGCATTTCTTTCCCATCTGCTGGGACAGCAGCAGCAGCAGCAGCCTCTGAGTTGTCAGGAGATTTGGGTCAACAATACAAAACAGTTAATAATAAAAAAGAAAGTCCTTCTTCATATAATACCTCTTTAATTGACCATGTTCCCTGGCAAAAGAAATGGTAAAGGCTTGTTGATGACAGAGCCATCCCTCCTATTAGGCCAACTTGTTTCTGGGCTCCACTGATTCAGACTGTGGGGAGAGAGCTCACATGAGGGGATGCTCCTCAATATAAACAAAACAAAATAAAATATCCACCTGTGTCAGAAGTTAGCATGTCAGGGAGGGACTGACATGCTCAGTTTCTGTCTGTGAAAGTCCCACTCCATTCTGGCCATTGGTGGTGCTCACCTGATCTCTAAAGGGAACTCGTT